GGTCTCAAAATGGTAAGGGAATTTGCATTATCGATCGGTTTTTTTTTTCTTTTTTTGGAAAACGCTTGCGATGTCGACTTTATTTGACCTAATTTGTTATGTTGAAAATATACACTGAGAGAAGAAATGAACCATTTCGTGCTTCTGTTAAGCTGAAACACATATATGTACGTACATATTTAGTTTTGGCGCAAACGATCTTTAGTTTACTTTAAACAGACTTTTGTTTGGCGACTTTTTCACTTGGATATGATTTCGTTCTTTACTTCGTGCATGCTTTATCATAGTTCGCAAACACTACCAGCTTTTAACAAATAATCACCTCTGCGCACTCAGCTACAGCCGAATATGTAAAAGTATTTTCCAAAAACACGGGTTACTATTTCCCGGTGGCAAAATGGGGAATGCATTACATTTTTCTACCACGAAAAGATTAACGACTACATTTGAACGAAAATATGCATCGTAATGTAAGCGAGCGGGTAATATGTAGCGTTGATGTGTACGGCGATACATTACATTCTCCATTACCAAAAGTTCCATTTCCCTACTTGGAGGCAATAGAAGGGATATTGGCAGATTTGAAGCCACAAGCAAAAATAGGTTGAGCAAAAATTTAAGTACTTTAAGTCTTTTTCCACGTTATCTCAACGCCTGCCGTAGCCGAATGATAGCGCGTTCGACTATCAGCTTGTTGGTCGCGAGTTCAAATCCTGGTGCACGGACGCTTTTTTTCTATCGTTTTTTTTCTATTTATAGTTTTATAAAGCGACACGCAACACATCACTTTCCTAGGACATGCCTGTACAAAAAATGATGCAACTTGTAATGTATAAACTACAAAGGCGATGCATTACTTTCTACAATTTTACCAAACATTCCATTTTCCTACTGGGATTAGTGGAACTATGCATTTATGCATTTAGAACATCAGTTAGGTTAGGTTAGGTTAATTACACAATACCATTCAAACCAGTAAACGATGAAAATATGCTTACCTTTTAAACAATTTTCTCAATGTTCATAATTTATGAGTCTAAACTGAGCTTTTCTTCCGTTAAAAATATGGTTCTAAGACCAGTCAACTAGACTCTCTCATTTCGGACCCTTTCGGTCTCATAAATTCTGAGTTGAACAAAAGTAACAAAGTACAAGTAGAAGTAAAAGTTTATTAACAAACAGAATTATAAAGAATACTTGAAGACTCAGAAAAGCGTAAAATTCAGGCTCTAATTCGACTCCTCACTTGGACTCGTACTGGCGTGTCCTTCTAAGAAGGGAAATATGATGTATTTTGGAACGAATTTCTGGCATTCCTTGACATTTGTTCCAAAATACATCATGCACCCAACCTGTCGGAAAAAACATCAACCACCTAAAGGCGCGTGGACTTGACGGAAAATTTAGTTTTTGATGCAGAGTGAGAGATAATGCAAAACTACATCGACATTTCGGCTCTCCTGAACAATTAAAAAAATGGACGGACACCTTTTCACGTTTAGGGAACGATATACCCTTTTCTAACTTTT